CTGACCTACTAAAAAAGGAAAAACTGCAGCTCCATCTCCTGTTTGCCAGAGCATCAGAGGGGTGGGGGGGAGGCTTTTGTCATTTATCCCTGGCATTAAACTCCTGTTGGGTCATGGCCCGAGTGGGTCACACTGGTTCAGTGACAGGTACGCAGATGATGGACATGTGTGTCCTTGACCCGACTCCACTATGTTATCCAACAATAGGCTTCTCAGCTGGAAAATCAGGACTAAGTAAAGCAAGGCTGTAGATGGAGTATTTATTATCGGCGAATCAATCCCACACCAGTTATGTTTTAAGGGGTTATTTATTTTGGGGGGGTAAAACTTACATACACCATAAACCGTCAGGAAGGGAGCCTAGTTGCAGAAGCCGGGAGCAGGAGCCAGGAGCAAGCACCGGAACCAAGAGCCGGAACCAAGAGGGCCTGATCCGGATCTGCTTCTCTTTTTAAAAGAGAAATATACCACGCCCCAGTGGGCTGGTATTTCAGCAGCTATTGGCTGACGGAGCGGAAGTCGCTCCCCGCTGCACTGTGGGCTCGTATTTCAGCGACTATTGGTTGAGGCAGCGGAAGTTACTCCCACAACAATTTATAGTTCTCACAATGCTAAGTTGGTGGTATTATTATACCCATTCCACAGATGCGAAGTTTGGAAAAGTTGAGAGTCTTTCCTAGGAGTGAGCGGGGAGTAGAGGCAGAGCCAGAACTTGTGCTCAGGCTGGCCCAACACCAAAGCCGATGCCATCAACCATGGCACTAGACTGCCAACCAAGAATAAGAAAAGGAAAAGTCCCTGAGACGAAGGTTTGCAAATAGAAGGCATTCGGGCCCATAGGACTCTGTGCTTGCAAGCATGGGTTAAAAGGAGTTTGTATCTGCCCAATGCCAGTTCCTTGAGATGCAGGAGTCTTCTTATTTGAGACCCCAGTTGGGGAAGTCTTTCTCCACTGGCAGGTGTGGGTCTGGGAATTGAGGCCCCAGAGGATGATATGTGAACTGGGACTATGAAATCCATACTGACAGCAGCCAGCCTCCCGGGGCGGGCAGAATGAAGAAATAGTTAATACGTTCCCAAGGCTTTTTGTTCCTGGACATTCCCAAGAAGTCACAGCTAGTTTAAGATGGGGGGGGCAGGCTCTCCTGGACACTGAAGGCAGAAGATGGTGTCTGCTTCACTCGTCCTCTTCGGGACCAGCCAGACTCCCACCGAGGGCTGGTGACAGTCGCAATGCAGTGATATCAGCGCGTCTTACAGATGAGCAGCATGAGACCTGACAAAGTTAAGCATTTCAGAGGCCTGGGTCTCTCATCGCTCACTCCAGGTCAGGGTGATCTTATGAGACCTGTGATCGTCAAGCTGGTTCATGGAGCTGCTGGGTTCCAGGTCAGAGAAAGAGGCTACGAAAACCAGCAGGAGCTCCAGCTTGTCCAGCCAGATGCCTGACGCAGTTGACACTAGAGATACTAGCTGAGTGGCCCTATGAATGAGTAACTGGGTAAACACATGCTTCAGAGTATCCTTTTACTTACGTTGGCGCTCCAGGTAGGACTTCATTGGAGGGTGGGAATAGTTCTGCTATGTAAAAGCCAAGTCTAAAGACTGTAGTACGAAGTAGACCATGCTGATCTCACGAGGACTTGCAGGCAGAGGAGAGATGGAGTGGGCAGATGACCTAGGGATGCTGGAACCATGGCTGAGACTTGATCATTAGAAACACTAAACCAAGCTGGGCAGTGGTGGCGCACACCTTTAATCCCAGCACTCGGGAGGCAGAGGCTGATGGATCTCTGTGGGTTTGAGGCCAGCCTGGTCTACAGAGTGAGTTCCAGAACAGAGTTACAAAGAGAAACCCTATCTAGAAAAAAAAAAAAAAAGACTAATTGTATCACTCTAGTCCTAAAGCTCCAGTCCTTGGAACCCTGCATACCAGACAGAACTTCGTGCGTAAGTATTTTTATCTGAGCAGAAGACACAAAGTTCTCATCAGATTCCCAAGGAAACACATGACCTGTAAAAGTTTATGCAGCATGGCTTCAAGACACTAAACCATTTGTAGACACAGAGTCTGAATTTTTCAGTCTCGACTCTTTGTTAGCGCTGAGGACGAATTCTTCATCCTGCTGACTCTACCTCCCAAGAACTGGGATTGCCCGTGTATGGCTGTCACACCCAGCTCTTGGCTCTTCATTTTATAGCCAAGGACATGGAAGGATGAAATGACTGTGACTTGCACAGGCCACACAGCAGGTCTGCTGAAAAGCTAGGATCTGGGATCAGGAATTTGGGATTTATTATATTCTACATTGCAGTGGAGTTTTTGTTGTTTTTTAAGAGGGTCTCACTGTGTAGCCCTGGTGGCCTGGTAAACCAGACTGATTTTGATCTCACGAAGGTTTGCCTGCCTCTGCCTCCTGCTGTAGGGATTAAGGGCATGTATCACCAGGCCTAGCCACTTAAAATTTTTATTATCTCGCTAGGGGGGGCAGGCAGCATACATACCACAGGGCATGTATGCGGAGGTCAGAGGACAACTGTAGGGGGTCAACTCTCCCCTTTTATTATGTTGGTTCCAAGGATCAATAATCAGGTTGTCAGGTTGTCAGGTTTAGGGGCAAGCATCTTACCTGCTGAGCCCCTCATTCGACCTCTTTCCTTTCTTTCTTTCATAGTGTAACCTAGGCCAACTTTGACCTTACCATGTAGCCATGGATTTGAACACTTGGCAATTCCACTTCCTGAGCTGTCAGGCGTGTTAGCCACTACTCCTGGCTTCCATCACAGGTTAACCTACGGTGTCTGGGCTTCAGGATCTATGAACGGCTAGACTGCAAACTGAGCAGGGATGGATACACTCTCCTCTGGGTTGGAAGAGTGCCTTCATCAGATTTTCAAAGTGGATTTTGACTTCTCTAAGATTGAGGACTGCTGCAGCCCTCTAGGTCTGCTCTCACCCTCCCTGCAGGTCCCAGAGAACTCCTGGGTAGTGCTGTTTTGTCAGAGTGGGGGCGTGCTGTGAGGGCTGGTGCTGGATCCTGCACCCTGTGAGGGCTGGTGCTGGATCCCTTCCTAGCGCTGACACCAGCACCTTTCCCACCCTCTCCCCGCAATGGGCTCAGAACGAGGCAGTACATATGGTGACAGAACTGGGTGTGCTGAACAGGAAGGTTACAGAAATTTCTTGACATCAGCCAAGATGTCAAAGCTAAGGCTTTGGACATACTTGAAACAGTTTCCACCAAGATGGGCTCTGTCCCCTGGGAGACGGAGGGAGAGCAGGCAAGCCAGCAAGCACTCAGTTAAATGTCGTCTTAATTTGGAAAGCACAGAGGGACATTTTTTAAAAAAATCAATAGTCAGCCATTCTCCGGCACCAAGAGTGCCAGGCAGTGTTCACTCAGCCTGGGGGCAGCTCAGAGATTGACAGGCAGTCTTCCCGTCTGTCACCAACTTCAGCCTGGCAGCTCACTGACCCTACCTCTCCTCTGGCTGAAACAAGAATGTGATAGCACCGGCACCGCTACCCTTGGGACTCTGGAGGGAACCAAATTCCCAAAAAAGACAGAGTGGGGGAGGCAGGAGACAGCATATTATCAACTTGGCAAATCATATTTACCTGCCAAGTGGGTCAGTGTTTTCTAGCTCCTCCTAAGAATGGTGCATACTATGAGGGCAACATAAACATCACTCAACACTTGTCTGAGTCAAAGTCTCTCCCTGTAGGCCTGCCTCAGCCTCTCCAGTGCTAAGATTACAGACAGAAGCTACCACACTTGGCTATATTTTGTATTTCTTGAACAATTTCTAAGTGTCGTAATTAGCATAATGATCACAGAGGGGAGAAAGGCATAATCATTTTCCATTCCCAAAACAATTATTTAAAACCCCCACTATGTGTAGACTTGTTGCTGGGCAGATGTGTTCGCTGAGCACCTACTGAGTGCCCTGCACTGTATTAACAACGATCTAATGGGCTGAACGGTTGTGTTCCCACCACTGCATCATCAATACAGCTTTGCTGAAAGGTCTCATGGTTGAAGAACTGGTTTCGTGGATAGGCCTGGAGCCCTGCATCCCCCAGCACACAAGCCAAACTGGCTCTGCTGTGGGGCCACCTCCCTGTCCTCTCACATTTTCTCTGGGGGCACTGATGAGTCATTAATAGAATTTGAAAGGCAGAAGTGCAGCAGTATGGAGTCCGTCCATGAAACCTGTCCCCTGGGGCTGTACTGAGACTGGCAGTGACTGCATTGAGATCACAATGCCTGCACAGCCACAGACTTGGGGCCCCTGATAACATCTCTTAAGAGAACATCTCCTTCCTTCTCCCCCAGCAGAAGCTCTTCTTTCCAAGGCTGGAAAGTTTAGAAATACCCCACCCCAAACTTGGGCACCCGGTCTGTGTTTAACTCAGCAGGGACTGAGTAGGAGGGAGCAGCTTAGGCACTATCACGACAGGACACCTGGATTCACTGTCTGACCTACATGGTAGGGGAGGCAAGCAGGGCTCAGGGGATCCAAATGACTTAAAAGCTGCGAGACTCCGGAGAATGCTGGTGGTGACATTTCTCAGGGCACCCAGGAAGGCTCTGTTGCCTCTGTCCTTAGTGCAGGGCTTCCCGGAGCTCACATTTCTGGATGTGTTATGAATTTATAAAAAGGGGCCGTCGAGGGCACTGCTTCCCAAACTTAGTCGAGCACAGAAACCCTTCTTACTTCTATCTGCCACAGCAGTCAGTGCACTGCAGGCTTCAGACTCTGAACACGGGGCCTTTACCCCGCTGTCTGTGGGAGGCATCATACAAGGTGTCCAACAGGGGTCAGGATGGTGTACATGGCAAATCTGGGAAGGAAGGTGCTAGAACAGCATAGCTAAGACCACACAGAAGTTAGGAGAGGGAGGGGTGGGCAGCTGAAGAAAGTGTGCACAGCTACCCCCCCCCCAACCCTCCCATCTTTGAACTGATCATGCTGGCTGGACAAGGAAACAGTCGTGGGGTAGGGGGACGTGCTGGTCCTCGGTTCCTCCCACCCCTACCCACAGCCACGTTTCTGCTATTGAACTTGGGCTAATTTCCAGAAGCCAGGGAACAGCTATTCACAAATTCAGTAATTGGAGTCATTAGCGTTGACTCAGAAGTCATTTTTTTTTTTCTAAGTCTCTCTCTTGGAGAGCTTTTAAGTCCCTTTAAATTGGTTAATGGAGAGTTTAGAGATGAGGATGGAGCCTCAGCTTTCAGTTCCCCCTGCCCATCTCCCTGGCTCTCCCCCACACACTCAAGGGCAAAAGAGAAGAGATAACCCACCATCTGTTTTATTAAACACTTGCATAATCCTACCCGACCTTTCCCAAAAAGGACTCACGCTCTCAATTCTCGGACTCCAAGACTCCAGGTGCCTAATCTCTACTGAGACCTCCACACCTGCAGGGTGACGATAATGTTTGCAAATAACACTACAGTGTGAACTGGTGGACCAGAAGTCTGGGCTGGAGTCATGATGTCAGCTTTGATCCTCATCTAAATCTGTTTTTGTTGTTGTTGTTTGTTTGTTTTTGAGATAGGGATTCCCTATGTAGCCTCCTGTACAGCTGTCCTGTAACTTGCTTTGTAGAACAGGCGGGCCTTGAACTCGCAGAGATCCCCCTGCCACTGCCTCCTAAGTGCTGGGATTAAAGGCACTCGCATGCCTGGTGGCCTGGAGACTCTAAGGTCATAGAACTGTGGGCATCACTCTGCCTTTAGGAACCTAAGCAAGGACTAAGGTCCCTGATGCAGAGAAATGGCTACACCTCAGTCTTTTAAGGCAGGAGAGCTCCTGTTACTGTCCTTGGTCTAGAATTGAGAAAATAATGTTGGAAAATCGGGTCACTGCTTCCAGGTGGCACACCTAGGACTTCACAGGCCTTCCTCTTCTTTATGGTGCTGGGGAGGTGCTGGAGGCTCCTGGGAAGGTAAGGAGCTAACCGGCCTCTTCTTTGGGATTCAAGTTGTGATATCTCTGAGAGCTCTCAGGCACAGAAATCTGAAGAAAATCCAAACAGATACATGTAAGCACTCAGGCAACCTCTCCCTTCCACATCCAAGACGAAAACAATCATGAGTCCATCAGGATGAACAAGGCGTGAATGTTGGTGACACTTGGATTTCCCAAGCTTCAGCCACTCATGAGAACACCCCCATACTTTTGTCACCTTTTGAATCTGCGTTCCATTGGACAGGATGCTTTAAGTCACTACCCTTTAGCTTTGTACATAAGTACAAGGCAATTATAGGCCAGTCTGTCCATTATAGTTGGCATTATCTATTAAATATATTACTAAAGTAAATCATTTTAATATATATGCCATGTAAAATCTTGTCAACTACCAGGGGCATGCACACATCAAGGATTGTTGGAAACTATGATAGGTCTAAGAGTAGGGAAACTGAGGCACAGGGACAGAGAAGGTTAGTTATTTGCTCAAAAACAAAAGCAAAGGTGGCAAATGGGGTCTCTGGGGCCACTGAATGAATATTTTTGGTGCTACTTGGGAGGCTACCAAGTAGAAAAAAGGACAAAGTCACCGATGACCCTTGTACCTGAGCACCACCTGGAATTGCTACTCTAGGAAGGATACTAACACCCAATTTCTGCTGCCACCCAGTCCACCCTCTTCCTAGCCAGGGCTGTATTTTATCTCACCTTAGCCGAAACCCAGCCTCACGAGACTTCTTTCCAAGGATGGTATAGCCCTGCTGGGGGCTCCATGGTTGGCTCCAAGATGGCCACTTCTGCAGAGGAGGCCAAGGTTCCCAGTGCTTGAGGCATGAGGGAGGCCTGAGGCACCTGCCAACAGGGAGTTCAGGCTGCAGAGGGAGGGGCTGGAGAAAGACTTCAGTCCTGTCATGGCCAGGTTGCTGGGCCCTGGGGCTACAGAGAGAGGACAGCCATGCTTATTCCCGCAGTTCTCCTAGCAGGATCTTTGTTTAAGACAGGGTCTCCCTACACAGTCTAGAACTCTCTATGTAGACTACACTGGTCTCAGCCTCAGAGATCCACCTGCCTCTGCCTCGAGTGTTGGTATTAAAGGCGTGCGCCACCTGCCTGACAGGGCAGGGACTTCTTAAAGGACCTGGCTCCCCTGGCATTCCTAATGGGGCCCAGCCCCAGTGATTCAGTGGGGTTCTCATAGCCCTAGAAAGGTATTTTCAGTCAGCCTCAAGACATTGGCTCTCCCAAAAACTCATGGCAGGAGCCATCATTTGCTGGTTTATTGAATACTTACTGTGCGCTAGACTATGTTATGCTTTATTTTTAAAGGCAGTGTCTTGCTATGGTACCCAAGTCAGCCTGGGAATGGATGCATCAGCATCCCAGATGTTGTGATTCCCAGCATGCACCACCAGGACCGGCTGTGCCAGTCCATTATTTTACTAAAATGTGGTGCTTACAACAAGCTAAGGGCTTAATTCTACTGTGTCTCTGATTGTCAGAGAAGAAATCAAGGCGGAAAGACATAGAGTCCCAGTTCAATGACAGCAGAGGTCAAAACACAAGTTTACCTCACTCTGAAAGTCGGGCTGCTAGCTACCACTGGGGCCACCACCCTTTGTTGTCACTGGGCACTCAGCTTGGAAGGAACCAGGCCTTGGTTTGCATTACCTGCTGCCTTTACGTTAAAGAGGGTCCTAAGCCTCTCCTGGGCGGGTTCATTCCCCATAGCTGCTGACTGCTGGTAACACTTCACAGCCTCGACCAGATTCCTCTGAACTCCAAGGCCCCTCTCGTAACAGACTCCCAAGTGGAACCTGCTCTGGGAGTCCTAAAGGAGAAGACAGACAAACTGAAGAACTGGAACGCCTAGTCAGGAGTGAGGTGCAGTCAGGCAGGGATGCTGAGCCTTCATCCATCAGCCTGCCACATTCCAAGCTCCTCAACCATGAAATGCTAGAGGCCCAGTGCTCGCCTAAGAAGTTAGGTTCCCTGCCCAGGGAGATTCCACCCCACCAGTGTGAAGGCTTCTCTTGATGAGACTGGTTAAGACTGCAGAAGAATCCGGCCCTAGATGGGAAGGATGCTGGGAGGCAAGCTTCGGCCTTCTGATAGGCCAGTGTACAGAGAGATTTCCCAAAGCCAGGTCTGCCTTCCTGACTCCCTGAGAGGACTGCAGAACAGAAACCATAGCACAAGCCATGTCTTCTTCATGCTATGCCCCTTGCCTTGCCCTGGGCTCTGCCTCCTCACTGACATGACACTCCTCTGTAAGACAAGTAGGCATTAGGAGCCTGGCGAGCATGGCTAGCCTTCCTGGCTTCCAACCTAGGTACCCCAGTTTCCTCGGCTACAGGACAGGGTTAACAGAAGCACTACTTACTTAGGCTTCGCTGTGCGGAAAGTGCTACTAGCATGACACACCCCTCCAGCTTCTCACACCGCCCAGTTCTCCTCCCTTACTAGAGAGCTCTTAGCATATTTAACCCCTTAATCAAAAAAAATTCTACAGACTCTCAACGATGGTCCCATTGCTCCTTTATGTGCCACAAGTTTCTGCTACATACTCTGTTAACACTTATTGTGACCTAAAGGCCAAAGTTGGTTAGAAATACAGTAGATCTGGAGTTGCAGGCTAGGGCAGAACATAGCAACAGTCATAAGACCTAAACCCTACTGTAATGGTCTGTCCTGTCCCTTTAAGAGAAAAGCCCCGCCCACTCCCCCCTTCTCCTGAGGCAAGCAGATCTTCCCTCTTTTTGGAAGAGGTGGCTGAGGCCTCTTCTCCTTCAGTAAATCCTACCAGCATGTGCCACCTTTCACTCTCTCTCTCCCCTTTCTTTCCATAACCCACTAAATAAACTAAACTCACTTTCTCTGTTTGGCATCTATTATGGCATCTATCCACCTCATCTGCCCCGCCAACTTGCCAAGGTCTCTCACCCACGGCCTCCCACCTGCCTGGGACCCACAGAGGCCTTGGGTGGTGGAACCTGGCTTCCCCTCGTGGCCCACTGCCGCCCCTTGGGGAACTGCACTGCTTTTATCTAAACCGTAACACCTACCCCTGCAACACCACTCAGAATAAGCCCTGAGTGATCAACCCAGTTTCTGAAAGGTTGAGAGTGTAAGGGCTGTGTCCAAACACAGTGCTCCACAGTGGGGGACATATATCCCTTCGTGCACCCCTTCTTTTAGCATGCTGGTCTAACCCTAGCAGGCCAGAAGGCCCAGGGTGTACCCGGCATATGGACAGCAGGCCCACTCCTCCGAGGAAGAAGAGTTACAGTGCAATTGCTGGCTGATGCTAGCTGTCCTCTGTCAGACTACAGGCACTGTGTGTAGCAGAGTGGCCGGGATTTAGTATTCTGATGCAACAGTGTTATCAGCCGCTGGTCAGAGAACAAAGAGAAGCAGGAGTGTCCTATGCAGGGAAATGACACTGTGCACACTGCCTGCTCCAATCCAGGACTTCTGACCCTTCCAGGCATAACAGGGATCCAGCGAGCCACAGATCACCTTGGCATTTCACAGTGATAAAGAGCTCTTTACTCTGTAGACTGTCTACATGCAAAACAACTATTCTCACTTAGTGCTCCTGAGAGCCAAGTGCCCGTTCCCCTGGCATTCCTCACCAACATTCCATGGAACCAATTCCCTGTGGAACAAACTGGGCTATGCCGCTTGAATGCCAACACCCAGGTCAGACAATCAAGTATCTCCCCTCTCAAATGTGTCTGACTTCCCGAGGCCACTGCAAGGACGCGTCATGGGTACAGCTCACAGAGAGCTTGCATGCTTGTCACCTTGGTCTGATACTCCTAACAACCCTGTGAAGCGGCAGACAGTTAGAGTGGGCATTATTAGATTGGTTTAAAAGTCTGAATCAAGAAGTGATAGCTTGATACGTGGTGAGTGTGTAGCAAGCGACAGGCTGGGTGGCTGGAGGGGAGGAGCTCGGCTGTGTCACAATTCACAACATCTGAGAGCAAGTATTTCCACCTCGGCTGAGCAGTGTCCCCACCTTCAAACGCTGTACCCCAGCAGCCCTGTCCAAGGTCACACAGTGGGTCAGTGGGAGCCAGGGCTTGGCTAGCCGAAGGCTGCTGGAAAACGTATCATAAGCCCAGAGCTCAGAACCAGTTCCCAAACTCCTTTTCTTATCAGACTTGACCCCCAACATGTACGGACCAGAGATCACACACGTACCCCATTGTTAGCTGCTAGCCAAAGGTATTTCACGGCTCTCTTCTCATCCAGGTGTGGCTCCTTCGTAAAGAGCACCCCAAGGAAAGCTTGGGCCTGTCAGAGAGGAAGGAAAAGGGCATGTTAGTCACTTTCAGGCTCTGCACACCTCACTTAGAACAGACCCCATCGGTGGCACTCACCTCTCGCAAACCAGAATCTGCAGCTTGCTTCAGCATAGACACTGCCCTCTGCCGCTCAGGGTTTGACAAAGGGGCTGGACTTTGCAACAGGCACCGGGCATAGCGGTACTGAGCCAGGCTGTGGCCCTGGATGGCAGCCAGGTGGTAAAAGAGGATAGCCTGGGGCAATGGGAGAAATAATCAGTCTGTAGGTAATTGGCCTCTTTCTTTGAATGAATCTTAAAAGTCATTCAAATAAATACATAATCATTATAGGTTAGAACGGTAAATGCTGTTAAGTCAAAATTAAAAACAGAAACCCAGAGCACAAACATAAAAGCCCAAGATATCCTGCCTCATAAGGAGCATCAAGAATTCTTGTTGGTGTTCTTGACCTTTGAGAGGGAGTCTGAGATAGAGTTCCTGCAGCCTGTTACTACCCATACAGCCCACATTGGCCTCAAAAGTGGAGAAATCCTCCTGCCTCAGTGATGGAATTATAGTGTGTGCTACCCTGCTCAATTAAGATCATTCTTTATTAAAATTTTAGTGTATAGGCTTCCAAGTTTTCCCCATGGATATGTTATACACACGGCATATACTGTGTATACATTTACACATGTAAGCTTGTGTACATGTGTATACTATATATATGCTTTTGTGTGCATAGGTGTTTTGCTTGGATGTATGTCTGTGCACCACACGTGTGTTGTGCCTGTGGAGGTCAAAGAGAATGTCAGAATCCCCAGAACTAGAGTTACAGGTGGATGTGAGCCACCACGTGGGTACTGGGAATTGAACCTGGGTCTTCTGCAAGAGCAGCTAGTCCACTCAACCACTGAGCCCTATACATTATATATATGTATGAATATACACCTATATGGAGAAAGAGACATAACAGTATACCATGAATGTCTCTCCCTGTTGATATAGATCTGATCTATCATTAAGGTCCTGTAGACATAAAGAAGATCAAGTTGATTTTCCCCTTTCATTTCACATACAGCTCAACAAAATATTCTACATATGACACCCTTGCATACCTACCCTTCTATCTCAAAATTAACCTATTTATCTAGGTACAATCTAGGCTCTGAGAGTACAGTTGCAAAGAAAGGCAAAATACCCAGGCTCCCTGAGTTTGGAGTACACGTCTATAACTTAGGAGGGCTGACTTTGAACTATCAGTCCCTGCTGTTTACTACTTATTTTTTGAGCTCACTGGGTCTGGGGATGGGACAGTACCTTGCTGAGGTCCCGAGGGGTGCCTCTGCCGTGCTCCAGACACAAGCCCACATTGTACTGTGCTTTGCTGTAGCCGCGGTCTGCGGCTCTCTGGAAGTAAGAGAAGGCTTCTGTGTGGTGCCCTGCCTTCATGTTCTCTGTCCCTGTAGGAAACGGAGCACAAACACATTTCCCACTGTGACCTTCCACATCCTCGACCAGACACTCAGGTCGCTCATCTCTTCCCAGAATCCCCCTTTCCTTCTGTGCAGCACTTACTTCTCCAGCTGGCTCACTGGTGCCAGAGACATGGGGGTGGGGGTTGGAGGCTGGTGCCAGGGATGGGTGGCTGTGCTTGCTTATCTGGTCAATAGCCCTGGTTGCCCTTCGGGAACAACTCCTCCCCTGGGCCGTCAATCATATGCCTGAGCTCTTCCCCACCAATGCGACTTTGTCAGGAGTGTGAATCTTAATCAGGCAGAGAAGATTCTCATGAGAGAAAAGAACTCTTAAGTATTCTGACAGCTGCAACCTTGAGACACTATCAGTGCTGGTCCCTGGGTTCTCTGGAGCTGCCTTGATTCCCATCCCCCCTGGCTCGACAGGCCAAGAGATCTCCGAGATTCTTGGCTTATGTCAGCTAGAAGAGGGTTTCCATTGCACACCTGCACTGCACAGGTGATCTTGCTCAGCTAGCCTTATAGGGCAAGGAAGAGCCTCAGTAGAAGACAGCCAACGCCTGGCTGACATCAATCTCCAAAGTCAGGGCCCTTTGCTTTGCCCAGGCATTAAGGAAACAGAAAATACATAGGCAGGACTCACCTTTGCCAATTTTCATCTTTGCTCAAACTGGCTCCTGCCTGAGACCCTGGGTTCTGCCCTATCACCAGGCCTCCCATTGTTTCTACTCTAGAACCTTCAGACCACACTCGGGGCTTAAACTCTTTTTAGCGCTTTCCTAATATACCAAACCTTTGTCTATGGACACAGCTGGTACAAAAGAATAAGCCCTGTCTCCTCAATTATACTGTAAAATCCTCGAGGCAGGCAGAACAAGAACGGAGAAGTAATTTTGCATGGGATGAAAATTTTACATAAATGCAAAATATGATTATAGCTTGTGCTGCCTTTGTGCTCTGCCACAGGGCTCAGCACTTGCTGAATAAATGAATATATGAATGGGGGAATGGGCAAGAGGGTTCTGAGAAGAGCTTTGCCCTCAAAATCACAAAAAAAGCCAACCAGGAAAAAGCTGCACCCCATTCAGCAGGCAGAGTTACACTCACTTCCCTGCCTCCTGAAAATCTACTGTCCCGAGTGCATGGAGTCCTCTGTCCTTGGGAAAGAGACATGAGGGGCAGAAGACACCACCTGCTCATCAGGATTCCTCTACTCCTCTGGTCTCTGCTGCCTTAGTCATGGCTAAGCCATCATCACGTCCTGTCTAGTTCTCAGCAAGTCTTCCTGCCTGGTCTCACGTCTCCCTTCCGGCCCCCCTCAATCCATGCTGATCTGTAAATAGCCACACAGACCTTTGGAAGAGTAAGTCAGAACACATGTCCATCCTTCTTCCTGCTCCAGTGCCTTCCTGTGTCACGTAGGCAATCCCTACTCTCTTCCTAGGATCAGAAGACCTTACCTGAGCTGGCTCCTGGCTGCTTCTCTGACTTCATCCTTCTATCCTTTCTATGATGGCTAAGTTCCAGCCACAGTCACCTCTCTTTTGTCCCTTAACAAATAAACCTCAAAGCTGTCACAGCACCTCACTCTCACTTCTCTCTCTGCTGGAGATCTCTTTCTCCAAATGGGAACAAACCTGGCCTTTGTCAGCCAGGTTTAGCTCAAGGGTCTCCCTTCCAGCATATTTCTCCATGAAAAGTTGTTCCTTGCCCAAGTTAGTGAAACAACCCTTTGTTCAATTTCTTCATAACATTTATCATCTGAAATTCTTTTTTTGTTTTTTGTTTTTCGAGTCAGGGTTTCTTGGTGTAGCCCTGGCTGTCCTGGAACTTGCTCTTATAGATCAGGCTGGCTTTGAACTCAGAGATCTGCCTGTCTCCACCTCCTGAGTGCTGGGATTAAAGGCATGGGCCACTGTACCTGTCCAGTTTACTGTCTACTATCCTTCAATTCACATGTGAACACCACAAGAGTGAAGAACCACCAGATGTGCCCGGGCAGGGGCTAGCAAAGGTGAACAATCAGTAGATATGCTCTGAAGAGACCCAGCCTCTTCCTCCCCGTCCCCAACTACTAGGTCCCAACAGGTGCTGCTGGGAGTACAAGGCTCCACTTTAGATGGTTTGAGAAAGAACCAAGTCATGTGGAGTCCCCAGATTTGATAAGGGTCCTTTCCATTACGTACTTGGGGCCTGCTGCAAACCGCAGGGGCCTCTTCTTTTCTAAGCATGGCAGAGAATGCTGGGTGTCCTCTAAAATTTTCTCCTGTCTGCACAGGACAGACTACTCTGGGAAGCACATGGCCATTCGGCTGAAGACAACATCCCTCAGCCTCTTCCATAAAGATGGCCAGAAGCCAACTTTGTGGCTTATGTACCTCTATAAAGAGCAACTTCAAGGTTCGGCCCTTAAAGGGAAGCAGTGGTCCGCTAGCTTACTGTGTCTCTCCACCCAGCAGCCAAGAATATACACAGGAAAGCAGGAGCTGGAATGACTAATACCGAACTCAAGATGAGCGCTAGTTTTAAGACTGGCTGAACATACAAGAATTAGGATGGATCCCTGACCCCACTGAACCAGCATGCCGCATCTGGTCCACCTACCAAGAGAAGACAGACCTCTTTTGTTTAACCACTCTCTACTCTGACTGTATTCTCCCCAGCCCATGCCCTTTCCATTTCCTCGTCCTCCTGCCTCGAGGAGGGGAATCAGGTACCCAGGAAGTTGAAAGTGATGGCAACACTGAGCTGAAAGAGCTGCTGGACGGAAGCCACAGCCTCCTCTAGGGGCAGAGCCTTGGACTTGTCTTGTTCCTGGGGAAGAAACAGAAGGCAGCATCAGGGTAGGGTTCATCCGGATCTCCACCAGCCCCAAGAGAGGAGCAGGCACCCAGGGTACCAAACTTGAAACATACATTTGTTTCTCCAGGGGGGCAGGCCTCGGTTGCCTTTGCTTGGGATGTGAAGTCCCCGCTGACATGCAAGAAGTCAAAGTCACTGAGATCTGCAAGGGAAAGGCCGATACCCAGGCAGTCAGGGGGAGGAGAAGGATATGACTTCTCCCTTCTTTCTCTTCCAGTCTGCCCTATGTCCAGTAACTCTCGGTCACCCCAGGAAGCAAGAGGCTTCACGGGGATGACAGCTTGTATCTGGGTGCACAGTGCAGCAGAGGTCCATCCACCAGCCCCCCCTCCTGTGGGTGTTAGGTTCATCCACTCCCTCCCCACTCTTGCAGGTATTAGGTGAGGTCGCACCTTCTTCAGGGAGATTTAGAAGGCCAGTTGTCAGGGAGCTGTCTGAAGGGGAGCATTGGGTCTGAGAGGAGACTTCTTTCTGGCCCAGCCTTGGTTCCCTGAGGCCAGTGTGTGTGGGAGCTCGGTGGTCAGGCCTGGGAAGAACGTGCCTCCGAAGTGCTGGAGAGAGCCAACAAGAAGGTCAGGTTAGAAAGGGGTCAGTTCTTTGGGGGCTTGGAACACTTGCCAGTCAGTCCTCCCTGAGGCTTGGGAGGCCTGAGGATAAGGAAACTGAGGCATGGGGAAACCAAAACTGATTTTTTTAGGGACATAAGAGTAGTTAGTAAGCAATAGTTGGGGGGCTAGAATTCTTAAAATCTGACTCCAGAGCTTCAATCATGTGGCTATATGTTTTCTGCACAAAATACACAATAGTTTCAGTTATTGATAGTCACTGCAGGACTGGACTGAACTGAACTGGTAGAGGATTGGGCAGGAAGCCACACCCAGGGTCGAAAGGATCCTAGGTGTGGGGGCTTCCTCTCTGGGAGGTGATAGAAGGACACCGAGGAGCACCAGGGGCAGGCATGGCCCACACCCAGCGTGGCCTGCACTTCCCCACACTTCTCCCTCTGGCTCTAGATAGAAAAGGCAAGGAGCTGCTGATGGCTCTTTTCCTGAGGTGTGGCCAGAGATACTTCCTGGCCCAGAGAAACTCCCAACCTGCCCCAGTTGCCCCCTGAGGATGGAGAACTCACAGGAGTGTGGGTGCCACCAGGAAGAGGAGAGGAAGCAGTAGAGGGGACTGTGCCAAGAGCAGCGTTCAGCTGGCTGGGGTCCTGCTATCAGGGGTGCATGGAAGTGGATCTGCCTCGCCAGGTGCAAGGCCAGCACGGCCAGAGAGCCCTGGGAAAGAAAGCAGCACGTCAGGAACACAGCCCCACCTGTCAATCATCATCTGCCTGGAGCCTTTCCTGACTAACGGGGGCAGCTCCACGCCATGTACTTTCACAGCACTTGAGCATGTCCTTTGTGGCTCTGTAGTTCTTTTCAATCACTCACTTAGGGTCTGTCACTCCCTTTTAGTTTGTAAGCACGATAGAGGCAGGGCCCGTGGACCATGCACATTCTGGTATCCCTTGAGCCCAGGGCAGTGTGAAGTGAGAATAGGTGCCTAAAAAGTGCGTGCTGAATGCGTGTGCCAGTGAGGGACAGAATAAAAGGGTCCAGGCAGGCAAAAAGATGTTGTGGAAAGATGGAGCTTAGCCTGAAATACAGGGACAAGTCAGAGTCCCCAGCCCAGCCACAAGAGCACACATGTACAAGTGGAAGTCTGAAAAGCTGTCACAGAACAGCTGAGCCAGCTCCTATCCCAGGAGCTGCTCGTTCACCCCTATCTTCCTGTGCTGGAGACACCCCAATATTTCTTTGTTGCAACAGAAACTATGCATGACAGCAGGTTAAGACAGTGTCTGTGCCCTCATGACATTTGTATCTTTTGATAAAAGAAACAAAATTCAAACACACAGAGAAACAGATACAATAACCTAGCAACTGTGCGAAACACCAAAAAGAAAGCCAATCGGGGGCTGCAAAGAGCTGGGAAGAAAGAGTACTGGATGATGAGCAGGCTGCAGGCGGGAGGAAGACAGGGCAGCATCATCAGGAAGATAAAGCCAACGGTGTTGGTGAGAGTCTGCGTGCAGACCCCTCACATGGGCAGTGGTGACAGATCCTAGAGATGATAACAGGACCTCTGGAATCTGGGTCCAGTTCCCTGAAGGAATGTGATACTGACCTGGGGCTCAGTTCTTTGATAAAATAGAAAAATATTCCCTACTCTATGGTATCATCTGCCTCCAGTTCATAGAAACCCAGACAACCATGTCCGTGTCATGGAGACAGCCCATGTTCAGTTGATGACACCAAATTAAAGGTCTATTAAAAAAAAAAAAAAGTGGCCGGGTGGGGGTGGTGCACGCCTTTGATTCCAGTACTCAGGAGGCACAGGCAGATGGATCTCTGTGAGTTCGAGACCAGCCTGGTCTACAGCGCAAGTTCCAAGAAAGCCAGGGCTACACAACCTCAAAAAACAAACAAACAAAACAACAACAAAAGCAAGGCTCAGAGGTGTCAAGTCACTTGCCTACAGTACAAAGCACAAAGTACCAGGTTGGGATGTGGCAGAGCTGAGAGTGATACATGCATGCGTCCATTTCATTCAGAATAGTGGATAGCTAGAATCTCTACATGGCACACTGCCTGTGGGTCAAGAGTCTGCCCCAGGAGACCTAATGGTTGTGATGCATCCCTGACCTTAGAGATCAGTTCAACAAATATTTACCGAGCAAATATTATGCATGAGGCTCTGCATTAGGCGATTCCACAAGATATACCAGGTGAAGCAACCATGCGGTGCAGCTTGAATGTCAGGCCAGCAAAACCTGGTTCTTCTACTTAAGCCATGTGACTTTAGGTATACTACTGATATTCCAAAGCCTGAGTGTCCTTGTGTATGAGATGAAGGTTAAATTTCCCTTGCAAGACTTTTGTCTTGTAAATATTGAACAAGATGATGTGTGCACAACAGTTCCTGTTGGTGAGTCATGCTATCCATCAGCTACTTATTATCCATGAAGGCAAGAATTATGTCTTCTTTGTTCTCTGCTCTGTTTCCTAGTGCTTAGCTCAAAAGTGTTAAACCAATGCCTACCGAATGGAGAAGAATAAAAGCATGGCAGAGGCTAGAGGGACGGCAAGGTTTCCAGGAACACGCTCACAGTTGCAGACCTCACCATGTGGATACGATCTTTTTTTTTTTTAAAGATTTATTTATTTATTATGTGTACAACATTCTGCTTCCATGTATGCCCACACACCAGAAGAGGGTGCCAGATCTCATTACAGATGGTTGTGAGCCATCATGTGGTTGCTGGGAATTGAACTTAGGACCTCTGGAAAAGCAGTCAGTGCTCTTAACCACTGAGCCATCTCTCCAGCCCCCTGTGGATACGATCTTGCTCTTGTTTCTACGTTAGGATGTTCTCCCATGCAAGATCATTCTCGTCTATGCTGAAGGGATAGGACAGGACAGGGCTGGGGAAGCCTTACCCATGAGATGGCATCCCGCAGAGTGTTTGGGGAGACGTGAGCAGACATCCAGTGGAAGGCATCTTTCCACCCACAGCACTTTGGGTCTCTGTTCCTCCTTGGACCACAGGAGCCTGACCTAAACGGTACAATTAGAGGCTACTAAGTGCTGTACAAAATGGGAGCAGGAGGTCATATGTGACAGAATGCCAGACTCTCACCTAACAATGCTGGGCCTAGGGAGCAGTGGGGTAGTGGAGGATGTCTGAGGCCCATCTGAACTGGTGGGCCTGGGTGTTACCCCTCGGAAGCCAGGTCTCAGCACGCGGGGAAAAGCTGTGGAAGCAAAGAGGATCAGTCACACCAACAGGGATGGGCTGAAATAAAGATGGTCTCAACAATCCTCCTCCTAGTCTGTGAGGGAGCATTACCCCAGGAACCCAGGAATCACTGACGTCTGTCTGTGCAGTGGGTTGGTTTTGTTTTTTGGTTTTGTTTTTCTGGTGCTAGGAATGGGACTCAGGACATCCAGCATTCTAGGTAAGCCCTTTACTATTGAGCCTAAGCCCCGAGCTCTTGCAGAGGTTCTTAAATCAGGGTACAGATAGAAATCTATAGTCTAGTAAGGATCCCAAGGTTCCACCACCCCATAAAGCAAGACCCCTCAGAATGGCGTATGTTTATTCTCAAAAAATTCTCACAGAGTTGCCTATGAGTGGCAACTTCTGTTCTAGAACCATAAATCTATAGACACATTCTCACTAAGCTGAGCATGTGTCTCTAAACTCCTCCTCTTTTCATAGGCTTTCTTTTATAGACTCCTCCCCTTCTAGAGCTCCATCCCGTCCCCTTGGATGTAAGCTCCACCTTCTTCCCCACTTGGCCCTACCACGTCTCAAATTCCAAGGGCTCCAGACTCCTCGACTGGAGCCTTGCCCCCTATGCTCCGCCTTCCCTGCATCTAACCCCTCCTACTGGAGCTATGGCTGTCTTCCCGCGGAGCACTGCAGTTCTGAGGCCATGGCCTGTAGAAACTCCCCTTGCAGATGACCCTTACCTCGCCCCAGGAGACCTGTCAGGCGCCACATGTCGCGGCCAGCACCATAGAGCACTCGCCGCAGCCGAGAGATCAAGGCCTAAGGACCGGACAGGGACGAGCGCGGCCGCTGCGCAGTCCCCAGCGGCCGACTCCCCGGTCGGCCAATCAGCAAGGAGCCCTACCGGAAGGATGGTGCTCTCGGGAGGAAGTGGTGGATGGGGCGGGCTTGGCAAGATGAGAGCAACAAGGACGTGATTCCGGGCCAGGGCAGCGGTGTCCTCTGTCGCCGTCGCACGAGCCGCGGAGGTGCGCGGATCCGTATGGCGGCTGCTTGGTGGACCGAAGTACCCAGGACAGGGTTTGCTCCCAGGTTCTAGCCCGGTTTTGTCTCTTTACATTTAGGCTGGGCACTTTTCCGCGTCAGAATCGAAAGGCAAAGAAAATCCTTGCCAGCGTCCGGGCAAGAATTCCTGCACAGCCCAGTTATCAGTTGCTAAAGGCCTCTCCCTCCCCCACCCCCAGCCTAAAGCAATTGTTCCTCTACTAATCTCACCAGAAACTCGGTTTACAGGCAAAGGACATGTACTGCAACCCCAGAGGCATCTGATTTCATTTTATCAGATTATAATTCCATCCAAGGAATCACCCCATAAATTCACTTAACCCAAGAGAGAAGTGGGGTTGGTTCTTAGCAAGCTTTTGAGAGGTAACTTAACCACCAAAGATATGTGTGGCTAAGACGATGACAATTGCAACTCCCTCTTGCGTATAGACTTGCACTTTGGTATTGCCTTACTTTGTTCCCTGTGTGCCTCCTAAGCCCATGCTTATACCCATGTTAGTTATTTTTAATAAAATCTCCAGCTCTTCATCAGAGTGGCTAGTCCTGAAACTGTTTTCATCTTCTCAGCCAGGAATTTTGGTTTGGCCTGAGTCAAAGTCCCGAAACTATTAGGAGAACTCAGGCAGCTGAAGGTCACAGTGTAGTGCCGTTTCCCTGTCCCCTCACTGCTGATACTCTGTTTTCTGGACGCCTGCACAAAGGTAGGGCCAGCTGGAGCAGTCGTGACTGCCCTTTCCTGATGCCACAGGCTAAGGCTTTTGAGTGGCTGCTTGCTTCAAAATACTGAAGGATTCACGGACTGTGTTCAGTCAGAGCCCTCCGGTTCAGGTTCAGCCAGTGTAAGTTTTCGTAAACTTCACGACTGTGAAGTCCTATTTGGGGGGGGGTGTTCAGACTTCCTGCTTCCCCCAAATATGTGACTTCTAGGTGGGTGGAAGTATCTGGGATGCGAGTACTGGGTGTACCTACGATTAGACCCCGGCATGTGTTGTGAAAGTTGTGTTTCTCTGTCAGACAATCTCGAGCCATATGTCAGCCACCGTTCTAGGATCTGAGAAGACAGATTGATGAAGAGCATGTGTGGCCCCCAAAAATACAGGACTCTATCTAGTACATGAAGAGTAGACTGCAGTAGGGTCTGGTGACGCAAGGCTTTAGAACCAGAGGCAGGAGGATCAGTAGTTCAAGGACATCCTCAGCTACGTAGGTCTAGGCCAGCCTGGGCTACATGAGACACTGTCTCCCAAAAATAAATGAATGAATAAATAGGAGTAGGCTCTGAGATAGCACCAGCTCTCGTGGTATACTGGTTATAGCTCTGGACTCTGAATCCAGTGATCCGAGTTTATATCTCGGTAGAACCTGTTCCTTGAAGAGACCTGGTCAGTTGTCCTCGTCAACTCAGACCACAGAACCCAATATAAACGGGCTGCCCGTGCGTGCATCAGCATTGCCAGGGGCATGCTTCACTTCACAGACTCTGAGAACATATGCCTGTAATTCTAGTCCTGGGGAGGCTGAGATAGGAGGATCACAGATTCAAGACAATGAGTTCTGGACTATTCTGGGCTACGTGCTGAGACCTTGCCTCAAAAAGAGAAAGGACAGAGTCTGCTGGACTGAAATTATGGCTCAGTATCAGAGGCTAGGCATGTCCTGCAAGAGGCCAGGTTCAGTCTCTAGCACTGACAAACAGCAAACGGGCTCTAGACTCACAAATACCACTGTGAATGTCAGCTTTCTGATTTCCTAGCTTGGTTATCTTTGCAGGGCGTTTATTTGTTTTGGTTTGGTTTGGTTTGGTTTGGTTTTTGGTTTTTCAAGACAGGGTTTGTCTGTGTATCCCTGGCTTCCCTAGAACTCTTTGTAGAAAATTTAACATTTGCTGTTTTTATTATTATTGACATTATTATTATCATTACCGAATTTTTGAGACAGGATCTCTCTGTGTAGCCCAGGCTGTCCTGGAACTTGCTCTGTAGACCAGGCTGGCCTCAGACTCAGAGATCTGCCTGCCTCTGGGATTAAAGGCCTACACTACTACCACTCTTTTGCAGGGTTCTTAAGCACTGTTCTTAGCACAGCTTCTTAGCCTGTTATCTGTAAAACAGGGAAAATAACACCTCACGTAATTGTGAGATTCAAAACAGCATAAATGTTCAGCCTAGGTCCTGGTGCGTAGAAAGGGTCCAAGAAATATAAATTAGTCTTAATTATGGTAGTGGAGGAGTCAGTAAGCAGGGAACTGTGAGTTGTGTTTTAATAGAGCATGAACAGTGAGTGGGGGTACATTGTGGGAGGATTCTTCCACGTGGTTTGCGTTTTGAGTTGGGCCCTTTAAACACAAGTAAGTTTATCAGGTGGAGAAGGGGAAAGAGCATTGCAAGCAGAGGAAACCACATGAAGGCCCAGGAGCCTGAAAGCGGGGAACTATTCAGAAATGTTCTTGCTTGGGGAGTTGGGACAGCCGTCTTTCACAGTCGCTGTGCTGCCTGACATAAAACCATAAGTGTGCTGACTTGGCTCTGTCCCTCCTGGGACTTCTGGGCACCCCTTCCTCTCAGCCTATCTGTAGTTGGCTTTCTTCCTCAAGGCCCAGCCTGATTTCAGGACCACAATGAAGACTCCCCAACTGGTGGAGCGCTCCTCACTTCTCTGCTTTCGCCAATCCCTGTAGTGCTTAATTTTTACTACACAGTTTAGCAGTAATTATATGTTGTCCTGTTATTTAATTATCTCGTCTGTGTAAGTGTACTCTCCCCGGTTCTTTCCCTCAGGGCAGGGGTGGCATCTTCCCCTTTTTGTGTCCCACATGGGGCTTAACACACACTGTCAGCCCACAATGTATGTGTCCCCAATGTCTCTTAACTGCACACAGCCCAAAGCACCAGACCCTTATCATGGAATGACTGATTCGAGCAAAAGTGTGTTCAGTCCACGTGCCTTCATTGAGGTCCTGGCCTGTTTAAAGTTAGTCGAAGGGGTTTGTGTATCTGCCCCCAGACAAAGTGATGTTATAGCCAGGGGTGGTGGCACACACCAGTAATCCCAGCACTTGGCTGATTGAAACCGGTGGATCATGAGTTCAGGGACAATCAGATGTCTATTAAGACACTGTCTAGAAGGAGGAGGAGGAGGAGGAAAGAATGAGCAACCCCCCCCCCCGAATCTTGGGGATATCAGAGGCTGCTGGAGTGAGAAGTGTGGGGGTGGCTGGAATCCTCACAGCCTTTCGGTTGCCAGTCCCATCCAACAGGAACACTGTGGGAATCATATGGACTTTTGTTTTTACTAGAAATGCCAAGGCCCGAAGCCTTCAGCCATTTTCTTCTGCTGCTCTCACAGTCTGTTTTTGGATTGTGGCCCAAAGTCAAGTTGATTCAATTGTTTTTCAAAGGCCAGCTGTTTTCATTAAGAACCTATTGTCTAGGTACCTAGTAAATCACGTCTTGTGATGTGTATACAAGCCCTTCTGTTCTTACAACAGGGAGCATTGTAGACATTTGTTGTTGCCTTTATTTTTGTAGACATTTTAAATTCATACTAATCAAGTTTATGAGTTTATTCAGTGCTAGAGCATACCTAGAATATTTAACAACTTAAAAAGAAAATGAATGTGGCCCAGTATCATGGCTCATGCCTGTAATCCCAGCATTCAGGAGGCTGAGGCAGGCTGTCGTAAGTTTGAGGGCAACCTAGTCTACATAATGAGCTATAGGCCACCTAGTCTACATAGTGAGTTATAGGTGGCCTAGGAGATTCTGTCTCAAAGCAGCAAAACAGGTCAAAGCTGCTTGATTTTGCAGTGGGCAACAGTCAATGCAGAGATAGCTAACTGATCCAAGTGCTAAGGAGTTGACCGAATGCTCGGCCCGAAATGATTATCTTCCAACCCCCGAGGCTTAGGGAAGATTCCCAAAGAGGAGGCAGAAAGAATGTAAGAGCGAGAGGATGGGAAGGGCGCTGTGCACACTGTCTTCAGGACATGACAAGGATATCCCACACATGAACTCATGGCATCTGTGCTTACCGGGGCAAAATCAAGCCAGCTAAATTCTGATACAGTTGAGAGGGGCTCTCCAGACCCCACCCCTTGTTTGAGCTGATATCTTCTGGGAGAGGAAAATTTGTTTTTTGAGGGTGTGGCTGCTAGTGAGTTTCCCATGTTCCAGGAGACGACCCCACATCCATATCCATGGACAGCACTGATTTAATCTTGTGAACTCTCAAAGGAAAAGGAAGACTTGAGGTTGAGAAGGAGATGTGTTGGAAAGATACAGAGGAAGTTGGAGAGGGACGTGGGGAGCATAGAAGTGTACACAATCATATTTCATTGTGCATATGTATGAAATTCCCAAGAATAAAAAAATTATAAAAACAGAACCCTGCCCTGAGGAATCTATATAGTAGGGCAAATGAAGCCAGTAGGCAATTAAAATACAGAATGTCATTTAGTTATTTATTGCAGCATAGCAAACACTCTAGAGCTTGGTGGCTTAAACCCATCATTATTTCCTTTAGTTCTGTAAATGGGGCTCAGCTGGGCAATATTGCGGGTCTCACTTGGAGTCTCTCATGAGGTTGTAGTTAGATGGCAACTGTACCAGAAGTCATTTGAAGACACCTGGGGCCACAGAAAGGCTGGGAATCTGCACAGAGTCCCGGGGCCTCTCGGCTCCATGTGGCCTCTCTGGGCAACTGACTTCTTACATAGTGACTGAAAGTGTACAAAAGTAGACCTGCCAGGCACCTCAAAACCTAGGCATGGAACCTGCACTCTCTTCCTCCTGTGCTCTGTTGGCTAAAGCAAGTTGGAAGGCCAGCCCCAAA